TCATAAACTTCCATTAAAAGACATGGACCAGCAGAAAGAGAGGAGAGGAGCAACACATACCTTCTGTTGGCGAGGAAGTTGTGCATCCTTGAGTGAAGGAGGAGACACCTCCATACTGATTTTCACAGGGACTGCCCCACAGAGCATCCTACCAGCAGTGTAAGAGGGTTCCCACTTCTCCACATCCTCACCAGCACGTGTTGTTTCTGATCTGTGATCTGTGATCTTGAGAACTGCCCTGTGAAGTTTCAGAGTGAAGCAAGAGTGGAAAAAGTAGATTTCTCATGAATGTGTCACTAGCAGTTTGAACAGGAAATTGTTGCACTTGGGCTATTTTGAAGACACTTCACCTCATCACACACCTGCAGATTATAGGAGATGATGGGTTTATGGTTGTCATTTATTTTTCCATTTTCACATGCCTCTGAAATGTATCAGGGAACAAAAGACTAGAACACCCATGCTTGTTACCTGTTTCCATAGCAATCATAAATGCTGAAAAATTAGGCCTTATTAAGACTCTCTTAGATGTTTAAATACTACTATAAAGTGAGATTCATAAATCTTGATATGATATACTTTTCCCCATGCCCTTGTTATATCATTTATATTATAATGGAAAAAATTCATATCATTATTCCATTACCAATAGGTGTTTAATGATGTTTGTCACTAATTATTCTAAAAAATCACCACATTTCTAGACTATCTATAATATAGCAAACATCAGTACCTAAACTTCTCAGCATCTCTTCCCTAGTTCTTAAAATTCCTGCATTCAATTTTATTCTTTATAAATAAGCTATTTAGATTAGACTGATAAAAAACAATATTAAACCATCATCATTCAGTGACTGAAATAATTCTACCATTCTTTCTTTCATCCTCCAAGTATAATTGTTTTAATAAAAATATTTGTAAAAGATAAAAACCTAAGTATACTTTACTTATGTAAGGGAATTACAAAGGTAACTTTAAAAAATCTCACTGCACCAAAAATTGGGAAGAGTAGAAAAAAATAGACTTTTAAAACACAGGTTGAAGGCATATGACAAAATGATCATTATCACAGAAATGCAAATCAAGACACAAGGAGATACCACCTCATACCTGTGAGAGCGCTATATCAAAACAACCAGAAGAAAAAAAAAAAAAAAAAGACCAGAACCAACAAGTGCTGGTGAGGATGAAATCTATGGTCAAACAATATAAATTCTCAATAAAAATTTCTCAAAATAATAAGAGTAGCTATAATTTATTCTTTATGGTATGTATAGAAACAGTCATACAAAGGTATGTATATGTATACATATACATACAAACATATGTATGCATATATAATTTGTGACTATTTGTAGTTGTGAGAGTATCCAGTGAGCTAAGGTGGATGAACTGGAACTTAATAACAAGCAAAAAATACCCTTTTCAGGATAAGTCTCAGTAGTAGCACAGATGTGGCCTGAGTTCCATCCCCAGCAGGGAGCTAACCCACAGAGCCTAACAGACCTCTCTTGTCTCCCCTCAGCAGTGATTTCAGTAGATCCTCCTTTTCTGCTCCCCACTCTGTCTCCGGTGAATTCTCTCACAACCCCAACTCCACATCTTTGATCTACACTCCAGTTCTTGCATGCATAAATATAAAAACAAGTATTTTTTAAAAGACTTTTAAAATTTATTTACACCTTTAAGAATGGGGTGTAAGCCAGAGATGCAGGGTGTGAGAGGATTTGCCAGAGACAGAGTGGGGAACAGAACAGGCAGATCTACTGAGATATACTGGTGAGGGGACGAGTTTGTGAAACAGGAGAGGTCTGCTGTTTGGTTAGCTCCCTGGACTGGGGTCTAACTCATGCACAGTGGCTGGCTATTGCTTGACAGTACTGAGACTTTAACCTCTGAGCCACCACGAAGGCCATCTAAAAAAACTTAAAAAAAAAAAAATCCTTTACTTATGATGACAAAATAAATTCATTCTCATGAAAATTTTTTTTTTAATGAAGAGATATAATTTCTAGATGACTCTAACTAAAGTATATGTTTAAAGATCTTTTAAAGGGCCTTCCTGCTGGCCTAGGGTTAACTGTCTAAGTTATTGTTACATATTATATTTTAATATAAGTAATTATAAAAGGAAAATTGACAGACCAAAAACTTACAACACATGGCAACTGAGACCTCAAGGGAATAAAACATCATAAAGAAAGAACAACTCAAGGGCCTCCCCAGTGGTGCAGTGGTTGAGCGCTGGGTTGCAAAGCTGCCCGCAGCCTCTGCAGCGCCGGTTCGATCCCAGGCCACCGGGTGAGGGTCCCACATGGCGAGCAGACCTCTCCTGCCGCCCGCTGCTCCCCTCAGCAGTGTACTTCGGTCCTTCTGCCTGTTCTGCTCCCTGTTCTGGCTCTGGTGAATTCTCTCACCCTCCCGCGCTTCTGACTGTACCCAGCGCTTGTACAAATAAATAAATAAATAAATAAATCTTTAAAAAAAAAAAAGAAAGAAAGAACAACTCAAGACCTCCCTGGTGGCACAAGGGGTTAAGTGCAGCACTGTGAAGCTATCCACAGCCACTGCAGCACAAGTTCAATCCCCGGCCAGGGACCTACCCACATGGTGCAGCAGACCTCTCCTGACTGGCCCACTGCTCCCCTCAGCAGTGTATTTCACTCAAACTGCCTGTTCTGTTCCCCACTCTGTCTCTGGTGAATCCTCTCACCCACCACACCTCTGGCCTACACCCCAGTTCTTGTGTGCATAAATAAATAAATCTTAAAAAAAGGTACTGAATAAACACTGTTAATTCTCAAGTCCAGAATAAGTCCATTATGTTTCACACTCTAGGTACATGAGTAGAAATTTAAACACAAAGAAAGGTGTTATTTTGGCTTTTTATCACTCACTTCTCTGTGACTTTTTCTCTTCTAAACCCACCCATTTTTGGCATCCTCCTAATATCACTCTTTGTAATTACATAGTTGAGTTAAGGAACATGTGAGCTGACCAAACCTCCCTGCACAAGACATCATCACACCATGCCCACCAAGAGTACCCACAATCCCCAACCATAGTCACTCAGTTCTCCCTGCCCCCTTTTTTCCCCTTTCTCCCCACTCTTCTTCTGATAGTCAGATATCTAAGTTTTTTTTTGTTTTGTTTTGTTTTGTTTTTTGGTCTGTTCCTTTCTTTTCTAGTCCACAAATCAATGAAATCAAGTGGTATTTGTTTTTCTCATTCTAACTTACATCACTTAATATCATCACATCTAGTTCCAATCAAGTTCTTCCAAATGGCATGATTTCATCTTTTTTATAACTGAGTAGTTTTCCTTTGTGTATATATACCACATCTTCTTAATACATTTGGCTGTCATTGGGACTTAGGTTGTTTCCATAACATGATTATTGGAAATACTGCTGCAATGGATGTAGGAGTGTATATATCTTTCCAAATTAGTGGTTTTTAATCCTTGCGATAGATCCTGAGGAGTGGAATTGCAGGATCGCTTAGCAAATCTATTTGTATTATTTGAGGAACTTCCATACTGTTATTATAGGGGCTCAACCAATTTATATTCTAGCAACGTTATACAAGGGTTCCTTTTTCCCACACATCAACACCTGTTGTTGCTGATCTTTTTTATATAGGCCATTCTCATGAGTGCACTGAATTTTAAAACACAACAATAGAGAATGATCATTGTGCTTTTATTTCAGAAATGAAAGATGTTTAACATTTGTAGAAAAATGAAGATGTTTTGCTTTATGAACATACAGAGAAAACTCATTCCAGTTGATGAAAAATGTAACATCAATTGTGTATAAAACACTCATAAAACATGAATATTATAGAATTGGTTTTATTAGAGAAAACATGATGAAAAAATTAAAATAAATCTCATAGTGAAGTGAAATATTAAAATTGTATTCCCTAAAATTGTGAAAGTCAACACTGGAAATACAATCAAAGCCTGAAAAACATGTGTAGAACAAAATAATAGCATTTATAAAGAAAAACAAATATGCAATTATTTATAGATGAAATATATAAACAGTTCTATCCTGTTGAACATATATTTGAAATGATACAAATAATATATATAGTCCATGAAAGTGTAGGGTGTAAAATAAACATGCAAACTCACTTGTATTTCTATATCCAACAGCAAAATACTAGACAAAATTTAAAGATAAGAATGCCACTTATAAAAGTAGGACTGTGAAATCCCCACTCTCTCTAAGACGTCTATAAAAATAGAGAAAATAATAGAGAGATAATAAAATGAAAAAGACATAAAGCATTGAGAGATAAAGTTTGCTATAAATGGGAATAATAAATGTAAAGAGACTAAACACTTATTGAGACAAAGTAGCTAGTCTACATTCAAGAAGCAAGTTGTAGGAAATAAGTTGACATTAAGACCAAAAAACAACAAAAAGGTGTCTAACGTTTGCAAATACTTTAAAAATCAAATGGAGTTTTCAAACACAAACCCAGGGTTATTTCTTTTAAAAAATAGATTTATTGAAGTAAAATTTATAAAACATAAAATTCATCCCTTTAGAGAGCATACATCAAGATTCTAGAACAGTCCCAGTATTCTGTTTGTAACCATCACTGCTCGCAATACTTAAAAAGCTTTCATCAACCCAAAAGAAGCCCTAAACCAATTGATGGTCATTTCCTTTCTGACTTCCCTTCAGTTTGTCAACTACCAACCCACTTTCTATATCTATGAGCTTGCCATTTCTTGATATTTCGTGTAGACAGACTCACACAGCTTGTGACTTTTAAAAGACTGAATGTCACAGATGTAAGGTTGAGCAAAAACTCCAGACACAAGAGTAATGATATCTGTACTTTTTGATGTGTATCTTAGAGTTTTTCAATACTGTTTTTGAAAAAAAAAAAAAAAGCCATTACTACAAGAAATAACATAATGAGTATTAAGACTTAAGTAATCATAATATCGTTTTCATTTCATGAAATTTAAAGCCTTCCAACAGAATCCAAAAATGTCTCTGTTAACCTAAAGTCTATGTTTGCAACAATAAATACTTGGATATTCACAAAGATCTGCTCCAAGGCCGGATGAGGTCAACTTAGCACAGTTATACTTGTCAGATGTCAAATCTGTTATCCTGTTATAGGGGAAAAAAAATTAATTCTGTTATTACATACTATGGGGCAAATGAAGAAACAATAACATTTTTCATGTAATTTATTAAATTGGATAAAGATATTAGTAGGAGTAGGGATTTAGTAAAACCAAGCTGGTCATGCTTTATAATTTATCAAATATCCATTAACTTTCAACAGCATCATGTCTATAATTCAACTCAAGTAACTGTATTCTTCCTCTGAATTTTACTTCTTTCTTTCTTTTGTATACAACATCACTTAAAAGAACATTTACTAGGGGGGAGGATCAGAGACTTAACAACAAAGAGGAAGGGAAGCACAAGGACACGGTGGTGACTCAGGGTGAACTGGTCATAGGTGCACCATAGCGGTAATAACTGATGAACGTACTCACATTTTATCTCAGTTAAACACAAATAAATAAATATGAAATAATAGTAATTCCAAAAGAGAAAAATATAATGAATTAATATTTTATATATTAAGTATATATATATTTAGATATTAATGTACTTTTTGTAAAGAGTGAAAGATTATACCTGAATATTAATCATAGTAGTAGAATATTAATCATAGTAGTCAATAATATTACATTTTCTCTTTTGGAGACATAACTTCTACTCAACAACAGAGTGACAGGGTATATATATATATATATATATATATATATATATATATATCCCCTACACACAGGAGAAAGTGATCAGGTCACTACTTTCAGATACCAGCAGTAACAGGAGGTGGCTGCTCCTATGAGTTTGCAAATGAGTTTGCAAATCAATCACATGTATTCAAAAAAAAAAGAAAAGAAAAGAAAAGAAAAGAAAAGAGAACTTACTTTTGTTTGTAAATTGAACCATTTATTGACATCCACAGATGGTCATTGTTTTTACGGGAGACTCCAGTCCATGAGAGGAGTGATATGGATCTAAGAAATTTCTATACAAAAATAAAGAATTTTAATTCAAATAACCATGCTGAAAACACTGTTGTTTTAACAATCCAAGTAGTGTCTCCTTTCATATGTTTCTTAATTTTCAGAATGAACAGAGACTAGATTGCAATCTAACACTAAGCTATGGAGTTGAAAACACTTCATTTTGCTGGAATTCTTACTAATGTTTGAAGTTTTATTTAAAATGAACACATAATTTATATCCAGTAGTTTTGCTCTTCATTAATAAGTAAAATATGATTCACCTAATTTATTTGTTTGTTTGTTTATTTATTTGTTAAAGATTTATTTATTTATACAAGAACTAGCCAGAGGCGTGGGAGGGTGAGAGAACTCACCAGTGACAGTGGGGAGCAGAACAGGCAGACTGACGGAAATACACTGCTGAGGGGAGCAGCAGGCAAGACAGGAGAGGTCTACCGCACCATGTGGGTCTCTCCCTGCCGGCCAGGATTCGAACCTACGCTACAGAGGCTGCAGACAGCCTCACAGGGCTGTGCTCAACCGCCTGTGCCACTGGGGAGGCCTGATTTACCTAATTTAATAATATCTAACATAGTAAAGTCTTAAGTAAGTCCAGATGTCATGGTATACAGTTCTCTGTATACAATAAAGAAATTGATGTATTTTCTACTACTTTTCTCTGAACATGGATTTTAAAAGGAATGTAAGAGAAGCATTATCATTGATTTTATCAATGACATAGAAACCAAATTTTCCATCACTTTTACCTAGATAAGCCCCAAATCACTGTTTGTGAACTGGTATAACCAGGTGCTCCAGACAATGTGTTTTATATTCATTTCTCCATGTTACTCCCTGCTAGGTAGCATTGTAAGTTCTATTTAAGACAAGTGAAGGAAACAATGAAAGATGGAAAGAGAAAAACAAAAGGGTTTGGGTCCCAATATTAGACAACAGAAGAGTGACAGCGCCTCTTATATCTCCTACCCACAGAAAAACGTGATCAGGTCTACTAATTTCAGGTACCAGCAATAACAGGAGGTGGCTCCTCCTCTGAATTGAAGGGAATCCTGTTCAGAGACAGCAGGGAAGACTGACAAGGGTGATGCTTCACCTCTTGTGATAAGAGCCTGACAATAAGCAGCCAGAGGCAGGGCCTCTCCTGCTCCCCACCTAGAGATGTCAGGATAGGGTGAGAATGGAGCGAGGAGCAGCAAAGGAGACCTAAGACTAAATGTACTCAACCCAGGAAAACTCTGTATCCCTGGGAGCATGAAACTCATGGCCACCATCAGGGACAGTTGGTAGAATGGGTTTTTAAAAATCATATTCACATAATTCAGCAGTAAACACTAACAAATTACAGATAAATGCAATAATATGGGTCAGTTGCAAAAACAGCATATGCGATTGCAAAGTGATAGGGAGAAACATGCTTACTGTATGATGCCATGTGTATAAAGTTTTAAAAAAGCAAGGACATCTATAATATTGAAAGTCAAACAATGCATAAGTAACCAGCAAGGAGAAGTGAGGAGAGTGTAGGAGGGGGCTCTGGGCTGTGAGATCTATTTCATGTCTGATTTGTAGGTGCAAGTTCTACTCACTTTGTGAAAAGTCTGCACACTCTTACATGCCTAACTTCCTTAATACTCAGTGTGATTAAATTCCAATTTTTTTTTTAACAAGCAAATGCATTTATAGAAACAGGATTTCTATAAAGAAAAGCAACTCTGGACTTTATCAAGTGTGCCTCAATGGTGCAAAAATGTAAATAAGTCAGACAATGGATATTTTACAGACTTTAAGATATACTACAAATATGGATAAAACTAACAATGAATTCTATAAATTCATATTGATTGGTATAAGTTTTTAAAGCATTTAGAATCTTACCATTTCTTCCTCGTGATCTATGTAGAGCAGGTGAGAGTTCTTAGACGCACAGGCCGTCACGCTCTCATTCCAGGATTTTTTTTCATTGCTGATGTAATAGCAGTTGTTGGCATAGGTAAACCACTCGTTTGGACAAGAGCCACAATGGGATGCCAAAGAACAATTCTGAACTATTTTCAAAAAAATTTTGAGTTGGAAAATTGAAATGTATCTTATAGATATGCTTAGGCACATAAGTGTGTAAATGTGTGTATATTATATCTTTGTGTCTCATAGACTGATACATGTAAAATAAAACACACTCCCATACACGCACAGAAAAGGGTCAGCTCCTCATTCTCAATTTTATGTGCTCATGAAGAGCAAACTTATAAACAACAATATCCACTTCGCATCCCTGAAAATCAGTGAACAAAACCATTTTTTCAATATTCAAATTATTTATCCCTTATCATATTCCATTAATTGTACACTTGACCAACTGGCTACAATGGATGTGGTGATTGTATATGAATATTTCTTCATGTTGTTGCATATGAAGGAACACTCTCCTATTATCATTTATGAATATTTATTGTGCAATATTTTCCCTTTCCAAAAGAATGTGTTATCACTTTTGCCTAATTTATGATAGACAAAATATAAATTGTACTAACACTGATAATTGAAAATCATTATGTACCTTGTTTCGTTGTAAATGATGAGAAATTATCCTGCTCCGGCATTATAGTATCTAGAAAATATTTAAATAATCCTTACAAAAGTTAATAATTATCTAATAAATGTATGCATTGTAGTTTCTCAATATCAGTCCATTTCATTGTTTAAGATTAGATTAATATGGAATAAAATTGATATTACCAAGAAAATAATAAAGCATAGAAGATTAGGAAAAATATAAAAATGAAGAACCTACTTTCACCATATCATAAAGTATTTCCTTTAACATGTCTCAAGAAATAATTTGCATTTCTCAATAAGGTGTTTTAGTCTCCTAAAGCATATCTTTGTTCTGAAATATACAAGCATATAAATCAGAACATATAAATGCACAATCCTCTCACTAATCAGTATGATTTTATAATTTTATTAAAAATATAAGTATACTTTGTAATGAGATTTTTAATACAATAAGAACATTTATTAAAAATAAAAATATTGTTATGAATGTATGCTCTGTATATCTAAAATTTGGACAATTGTTAAAAAATCAATCCACATTTAACCTGAAAATTTACTAAATTCAGAGCTATTTCCCAAAACATTATGAAATCTTTAGAGGCGCTGACATATTAAGAGCATAGAATTTCCCCTGTAATATTTCAAAATTTTTCTTACAAAGAATAAGGACTCTGGTTTTTACTACGGCAAACACCAAGACGAGGCAGACGACCCCCAGCATCTCAGCAGCAATCTGCCCTGCAGGTAATGGCGAGTCTGCAGGGAGAGACATGGGAACACTAAGGAAGACATGGAGACAAGTTGACAGTTTACAGACACGAGAATCCACCAGACAAGAGGTCATACATAGAAGGTTGGATCCCAAACCCACATCCCCCATTGCAACCTTTCATCGGAAGATACCATTGCACTTTCAGTACATAAAGTCCCATGAGTTACTGATAAAAGACTACAACTTCCAACAACGCCTGAATAAAATTAGTCCTCACATTTTGTATTAGAACGATGTATTTAAACTTCAAGCTCTATTAAAAAATGATAAATGTTAAAATAAAATAATAATAATAATTATCTTCAAGCTCCGGCCTTCACAAATGAAATCTATGTGAGCTTATAGCCTACTCTTTCCCCACATCCACAACCTGATCCTACATCACAGACCAGGTGTATCACACGTGTTTACCAAACGTTTTACCTTTGCACGGGTAGTGCCTGTCATCCCCTTGAAGACACTGATTCGTCATTTTAAGATGTAATTCCACAGTGTTATTTCAGACTCTGTTACTGAAATGGAGCTTCCAGTGCTCTTTCATTGGTTTTTCTCTTGAGCCCAGATTCAGTTGTGGGTGGTGTTCACTTTGCTTGTGCTCTGTCAGCTGCATCATATCAGGGATTGCGCTGTGTGTGTGAAAGAGTTTGAGAACTGCATGTAAGTAGATAATAAACTGCACATGTGATGTCGGGTTCCCTCCTGCGTGATTGTGGGTGGCTGTGGGGTGAAAGAATCACTTACAGTGCGATTAAACAATGGCCAAGTCAGGTTCTAAATTCCTTACAGCAATAACATGAGTTACAAGTTAGAATCATACAACCCGCTCTGTTTTAACAATAACGTTGGTTGGAGCAATAAAAAGCAAAGAATAAGGAGTAACAGAGTCCATGATTAAATATCCTATTATCATAAATTCAGATTCCACAGAAACATGTGAACACCATTAGAACAGCTGTGCTGAAATTAAAATGCCATATTAGAAAAATATTAGCACTATTTATCACAAGTTTTAAATCCATTCTTTACAGATTGAAGTTGGGGGAAGAGCAGTGTCAGCATATATAATAATATCCTTCCCTGAATTACTTTCAGTCGCTGATCGTAGGTGATGACTTTCATTTATTTATGAAAAGGCAAAAGATGAGGTATTAAAATGATATATTAAAGTATTGTGTAAAACATTTTGCAAAAATATTTTGTATATGAAAAGTGTTACAAGACACTAAAATCATATAATGCTAAACAATACTGACAACAAACCAATCAAAAGAATTTTTAACATTACTTATTTTGCACAATACATAGGCAGAACTGACTATGATTATAAAGAAGTCATAAAATGATAAATTAGAAATCACTTAAGGAATTACACTGTTGGTTCAAACTTCCAGAAGGATCCTATGACTGTCCTAGAGCGTGAAAGTGGCTTTAGTTGTGAACCATTGCAACAAATCAGATAATGTAATTTAATAGTGAAGTTGATGGGCTGTGTAGTGAGTGGAATCTGGAATAAATTCTAGTTTTGAACCTACGGTGTGAAGTTACCTATCCTCAGCAGCTTTGTTTACTAATCTAAGGTGGGAATAAACTGTATAAGATATAATGCATGTGAAAAACTTAATATTCAATCTGGCTTTCATAAACACTTAATAAATATTGCCCATTTTAAATATTCCTTTGGCAAATTGCTGTGTTCTTATTTCTTATTCATAACAGTTAGACCACATCACATAATTCATTAGACATAAGTCTCTTTCATCAGTGATATATATCATTTTTGACTGTTTAGATAATTTTTAAAATAATACTTTTTATTATGTATGAGTGAGAATGTGTGGAAACTATGTTATCATGATTTTTTTAATTAAACAAGTGTATGAGGAATTACATTGGATCTCCCTGATAGATAAATTCATTGTATAGGCTGAACTAAGCTTAAAATAGTGTACAGGATTATATCTGTACTCATGACAAAATACAAAATAAACTCACCCTTACCTGATGCCTGTGGGATTTCAGGTAAAATTGTTTTGATTAAAAAAAAAAAAACAATTATCTTTGCATATATATACTTGACTAATTTGTCAAAGTCATGTTGGAATAAAAAAGAAATCCTATGCTCTCTGATGGTTATTTTCCCACCTTTAATTATTCACTAAAGGAAACATTTTGTAATTTGATTACAAATCAAATATTGCATCTTATATAGCATTTGTAATATCCCACTCAGTGAGATGGGCTGGTAGAGAGATAGGAGAGTAGGAACACTTACCTTCTGTTGGCAAAAGAGTGGAGCATCCTCCAGCAGGGGACCTGGTTATTCTTGGAAACACAAGAAATAATGTCTGTGCTTTGGCCAGACTCTCCTGTAACGGATCAGAGTGAGGCTAGCACAGAAAAAGTAGATTTCTTATCAGTGTCACTTAAAATTTTAACAGGAAATTCTAACACTTTGGCCATTGTGGAGACAGTTTATGCAGTCACACCCTTCCAGACTATAGGAAGTGTGTGAAGTTATGTGCTCATAGTATGCTATGTAGTTTGCCCATTTTCAAATGTGTCTGAGAACTTATATTCATATTCAAACATATTTCAGGATAAAAATGACCTGATCAGATGATGCTATTAAATTGCTTCCATCTCAATCACAAGCACTGAATATGTAGGTTTTATTGAGAATATGTAGCCTACTATATTCATGACATGGATGAAGAAAACCACCTCAATAAAATATATCTGCCAATTCGTTTTATTTATTTTTTGTATTATTTCACTTTAGTTAAGTAACATTGATTAATGGCACTGTACATGGTTTAAGTGTATAGGTCCATGCTTGTACATGGTTGTTCGTGCTTGTATATTACCTCACCATGCCCATTATTGAAGTACCCACTATCATCCACCATGTTCATTGTTTCCCTTCCCCACCTGCCCCCCATCCCCCCACTATCCCTTTCCAGTAGGTAGCCTCAATTCTGCATTATTTTCTGAGGGTTTTTGTGTGTGTGTTTGTTTACTTGGTTCCTGTTTCTTTATATTCTAAATATGAGTGAAATGATGTGGCATTTATCTCTTTCTGAGTTATTTCACTTAACTCTGGTTCCATTCATTTGTCCCAAATGGAATGATTCATCTTTTTAAATAGCTGATTAATAATCCATTGTGTATATATAACATCTTTGTAATACACTCATCTTCCATTGGGAGCTTAGGGTTGCTTCCATAACTTGGCTATTGGAAATACTGCTACAATGGACATAGGAGTGCATACATCCCTTCAAACTAGTGTTTTTTAATCCTTCCTATAGATATTGAGGAGAAGAATTGCAGAATTATTTAGCAGGCTTATTTGTGATATCTGAGGAACCAGAATACTGCTTTTATAGGAGTTCAACCAATTTATACTCTACCAAAAATGTCAAGATTTCCTTTACCACACTCACATCAACACCTGTTGTTAATGATCTTTTTTATATGGGCCATTCTCACTAGAGCACTGTGTTTTAATACACAACAAATGAGAATGATCATTGTGGTTTTATTTCAGAAATGCAGGATGTTTAACATTTGTAAAAAAGTAAAGATATTTTGCTTCATGAACATGCAGAGACAATAACTCATTCCTGTGATGAAAAATAACAAAAGAAAACATCAATTCACTATAAAATGATCATAAAAAGAGGGATATTTAGAATTGTCTTTATTAGGATAAACAATTAAAATAAATCTCACAGTGAAGTAAAATATCAAAATTGTTTTCTCTAGTTGTTAGACACAGAAACTTCACTGTACCTTCTACTCAACATGAGAAATAAACCCAAGCCTGTGATATAAGTCAGAAACAAAGTAGTTGTATTTATAAAGAAGAAACAAATGTGTGATTATTTATAGATGAAATAACAGTGATATTCAATGTTCTATCCTAATGAAGATATATTTCAAATGATGCAAATAATACACATACCCCATGAAATTGTAGGATGTAAAATTGATGTGTGCAGACTCCACATGTATTTGCTCATAACAGCAAAAATTAGTAGGTTAATTTAAAGATAAGAATACCACTTACAGAAGCATGATGGTGAAATGCCTATATTAGTAAGAGATGTCTATAAAAATACAGAACATAATAGAAAATAAAATGAGAATGATATAATGCATGAATGGATAAACCTTGCTATGGATGGAATAATAAGCATTACAAATATAACTAAACAGTTACAGAAATAAAGCAACTTGTATACTTCCAAGAAAAAAGTTGTAGGAAGTAAGATTAGGTTTAGACAAAAAAAAAAAAAAAAAAAAGACCAACAAAAACAATAGTTTTTTAATGTTTGCAAATTACTTTAAAAATGAAATGGGGTTTCAACATAAGCCAAGGTTTTTATATCTTATTTAACAGTAGCTTTATTGTTTGAAATTGAATAATTTACAAAACATAAAATTCATCTCTTTAGAGAGCATAAATTAAAGATTTCAGAATATTCACAATATTTGGTTTGTAACCATCACCGCTCTCAGTACTTAGAAAACTTTCATCACCCCAAAATGAAACACAAAAAATCAACTGATACTCATTTCCTCTTCTCTCCTCTCCTCAGTGCCCAGCAACCACCAACCCACTTTCTATATCTATGAGTTTGCCATTTTTTTTTTTTTTTTTTTTTTTTTTAATTCACCAGAGCCAGAGCGGGGAGCAGAGCAGGCAGAAGGACCGAAGCACACCGCTGAGGGGAGCAGCGGGCGGCAGGAGAAGTCTGCACGCCACGTGGGACCCTCCTCCGGTGGCCGGGGAGCAGCCGGGGATCGAACCGGCGCCGCAGAGGCCGCGGGCAGCCTCGCAACCCAGCGCTCAACCGCTGCACCACCGGGGAGGCCCGAGTTTGCCATTTTTTGATACTTCATCTAAACAGACTCACACAGCATTTGACCTTTTATAAAGATTGAATGTCACAAATATAAGACTGAGCAAAAAAATCCAGACACAAGAGTAATGATATCTGCATTTTTTAATGAATATACTACTGTTTTTCAACATTATTTTGAAAAAATGTCATTATTAGAACAAGTAACATGATCAGTATTAAGACTTACATGATCATCATATTTTGTTCATTTCATGAAGTGTAAAGTCTCCCAACGGAATCCAAACTGTGTCATTCTTGACCCAAAGCCTCTGCTTGCAATAATACACACTCTGATACTCACTAAGATCTGCTCTGAGACCACATGAGGTTAACAAAATACAGTTACTGTTGCCAGTTGATGAATCTGCTATGTTGTAATGGAGAAAATAATTAACTATGTTATTATATACTATCAAGAACAATAGCATTTTCCATATAACTCTTATATATGAATATTTTGAAAAGTGTGTAAGGATTATTAGTGCCTCTTGGGATTAAGTAAAACCAAGCTGTCCATTCATTGTAATTTATCAAATATTCATTATCTTTCAACATCTTTATGTCTATAACTCATGTCCAACAATTATATAATTATTACTATGAATTTTTCTTCCTTATTTTTCCTACATACTATTAGTTAAAAGAAACTATAACATGGTTGGAGGAGAGGAGGGAGAAGCATAGCAGGCAGGAAGCACAAGGACATGGCAGTG